CCTCGCCCAAGCACGGAGTCAGCAACATAAGAATGTCTTACAAAATGTATGGTTTCAAGACTGTCACTCAGCATTCTATTGGCTTTTGAGATGTGACAGTTGATACAAAAAAATCAGTATAGAATCAAACTCTAACATTGTTATTTAGTTGTTTTATCAGGAGCTGCCTTTAATTGATCCTCTGTTAATTGTCTGTTAGCCTCTAGTTTGTCTTTTATAAATCCCTAAATTGAAGGCAGCCAGCCTTTGGGAGCTTGAGGACACACACAGTGCATCATAATCACATTGCTCATTCTGTGTGTTTTGCCTCTGTTGAGTGACCCCAGGAAGCTTCAGCTCACATCCTTCTTGTCTTCCAAAAACACACCCTGAAGCCAGGTGCAGTGATGCATACCCATAATCCCTGTGACTCAGGAGACTGAGAGGTTCAAGGCCAGCCTCAGCAGCTTAGTAAGGCCCTAAGCAAATGAGTGAGACCCTATCTCAAAATAAAATAGTCTGGGGATGTGGTTCAGTGGTTAAGCACCCCTGGACTCAATTCCTGGTATCAAAACAAACCTAAAACATTCCCTAGGCCCCCTCTTTTTCGCTTTTGTATTTTATCCATGATATTTCATGATGTTATGTATGAATAAGAATGTGAGACACTAACTTCCATTTTTCTTAAAATTTTCTCTTTCCTAATTTCACGAAGCTGTATTATACTTTAACCTCTGTCACTTTTTCCTCTTCTCCTTAGTTTTATGTGAGTTCAAGATATAGTGAGAATAATTTCTTCTTTTACCTCAGAACCTTTACAAGCAGTTTGAAGTATGTGCAATTATGTGTTTTTCCTGCCTGCTGTTGTATGCCATTGTTTTCTTTAAACTTTTATATATTTGAATATTAACATCAGTTTATTCTGTTTTTCTTTCTCCATTTTGGGGAAATATGGGACTCCTATTTAGAATAATCTCCATTTGTTTCACAAATTGGGCTCTGTTACAGAAAATCAAGCAAAATGCACGTTGTTTCTTTTTACCTTTCTCTTTGATTATTTGTTGAAAATGTTAAGAAAATAGAATTTGATCTTTTATTAAAACTCAGTTTCTTGACTCAAAATTGATGTGCATTATAATTGCAAATAAAAATACTCTTACTGATGGTACTTCAAACTGTGACATGCAAAATTCACAGTAAAATTTTAAAATGTGTTGTAATTATGTTACTCGTTGCTTCCCAATCCAACTCCTACTAATTGTTGTGGGTGAGCAGAACTTTCCTTGCACAGGGGGAGAAAACTCAGCTTCAGTCAGCTTAGGCTAAGATTCTGTCATTCCTATTTCTACATTTTCCCCAGATTGGTATGCCCACCCTGGAGAAGAGGCAAGCTGGGAAGCAATACCAGATTTTTCTCTTGTTGCAATTTAATTAAAATTAGTGGGATAAAGCAACAGTTATGTATCTTTATTGAACCTCTCAAGTTCATGACCCCACACAGAAATTTGTGCCTTAACATTTAACTGAGCCTCTTACAGCCTCACCTTGCTGAATCGAGGGGTACTCCAGAAAACAACAGAGAGACTCTTTGGACCTTTGCCTCATGGAGCCAGCCTGACCATGACTTCTGCTCCCCCTGGCTTCCTTCCTGCACGTGCTTTTCTTTCTGAAGATGTTAATGACATGAGAAGGATTCCCTGTCATCATGATTCATACTCATTTCATAGAACTTCGAAATATTGAAAGAGAAGCATACTGATCCAGCAATAACCACTGACATTTTTATGTATCAGCTTGTGGTCTTTTTTAAAATAGTGGTTTATAAAAGTATACAGTTGCATCATAAGGTATATCTACTCTTAAAAATTTATATTATACATTATATCATTCTATGTTATTAAAAATTCACTAAAATTATTTAGTATAACTGGCAAAATCCAACTACTTTGCCTTACTAGTTTTCAAAGTTTGCTTTTTTCTTTTTTTTTTTTTCACAATCTGTAGTACATTCATAATTCTTTCATTCCAGTAATACTATTAAAATCTTCCAAGCTCTTACATTTTTCTCTGAGGATACAACCGTAAGCCTTATGAAGCATTGCTGTTTCTGGGTCTGACCCAGCACGTGTGCTCTTCAGTGGTCAAGTCATCTTCAGTCGAGTGTCGCTCTCGTCTTTGTTAAGCATCATTTCTCAACCAAGAGCTCCAGGCCCACAGCAGCAGAATTTAAATTGCCCATAAAAGTATATTCTTTGTTTTGAAAATGAGTCCTTTGGTGTTTCCAGTTTGTTTATCTTCAAAAGAGTCTCACTTTAGAAAAACAGCATATTCACAACTTATTCCAATATTTCAAAGTAAAAGTTTTCTCTGATGTTTTGTGGTCAGCACTTGTACAAATACACAGTGTACAGTTAAGCTCAGTTGTTTATTTGTAGGATCTGACCAGGCAAAATTGAAAAAGGATTTTTAATATTAAAGCCAAAATCCTGAAGTCCTTCTATTAGACTGTCACATATAAGTAACGTCAGGGTTTTGTTGTCACGTTACCATTCGTGGATTTTGATATGTTTATTTCTGAAATCCAGTCTTACATCCTTTTCTGATATCCTGTTTTATGTATGCTGTAGATGTTTATGACTATTTCTTAACAAGAGAATTTGTTGTTCTTGGTCTTTTTACTCCTAATGGTTGAATGTGTAGCAGACATTGGCTCACTTTTGCAGTAAAAGGCCAAAGTCTTAGTTTGTCTGGGCTGCTAGACAAAGTGCCGTGAATGGGGTGGTTTATAAATAACAGAAAGCTATTACTGTCTGTTCTGGATGTTGGGAAGTCAGGGGTCAGGCACAGTAGATTTGGTGTCTGGTGGGACTTTCTGTCTTTGTAGAAAGCTCATCCTTCATGGTGGAAGAGACAGAAAATCTTCTTTGGGTCCCCTCCCTAAGGGCACTAATCCTCTTCATAAAGGGTCTGCCTTCAATACCCAGTCACCTCCCAGAAGGCCCTGCTTCCTAATGTTATCACCATCACTTGGGATTTCAACATATCAATTTAAGGGAGAAACAAACATCAACCCACAGCAGCCAGATAACAGGCCATAAGCTCTGTGGACATAAGGTCTTTTTCAAACTAAGCTCTGCCTTGCAGTAGGCAGTGGCCATAATAATCTGTAAATGAATGTGCCTGGAAAAATGCAAATAAACAAACAAAACCTTGTTCGCAGAAGTATACTGCCACATGTTCTGTATTAATGAATAATGGAAAGGACAAAACACCAGGAATTTGCATGACTTGTCTTTTAAAAGTGCTTTTCCTTTTCTGTATGTTAGGTCAGCTAGAATGACTGGGTTTGTTTCCTTGCTGCATTTGTAACAATGGCAAAAGTAGTGAAGAGTTTTGGATCACTTTCGAAAACGTCTTTAACTTAGCTTCTCATATCATTATTTTTGGCTCCTTTTGATTTTCTGTTGTCACTGGGCTATTGGAAAACAGCCACTGATTTTGAACAACCTTCAAATTATCTCAAGATCTTTTTGGATGCTTTTGAAACCAAATATATGTTCATATTTTAACAAATTAAGTCATGAGAAAAGAAATTTGTATTGAAAACCTTCATTTTCTAATGGATTGGGACTTGAGTTTAGTGTAGATTGTGACATCCATAGAGCTGCTTCTGTATTCTGCCTTTGTAAATACTGAAAATTTGTTAAGACAGTGAAGTGTATTTGAAGGGTGTAGACTTTTCTGCAAGGTTCTTCAGAGGCCCTTCCGATGCTGTGTAACTCTGAGATAAAGGTATAGATGTATATGGATGTGCTTGGTCGGGAGGGGGAAGAGATACCGTGTTCTCTGTGCGTTGGGCTCCTGGTGTCCAGGCATTCCCAATTACTGACAAGGCAAGCTTGATGCAGAAGGACGAACACGGATATACTCATGAAGCTTTTAAGTTCATGCTAACCATTCTCACAGTGGAGTTTTTTTTTTTTTCAAACTTTATGTCATTCTCTGTATTTTCCATGGGAATGTTACTGTGTATTTCTATTTACTTTGTGTTTATTTGTATATTTCTCTCGTTTTGCAAACTGAGAAACATTCCATAGTATAAACATCAAAGAGCTGGAGCTGCATGGAGAGCAGGCTGCATTATGGCAGGATTACATCTGCAGTGCCAAGATGCCCATAACCTGGCCCCGTGTGATCTGTCCCCTTCCTGCTCTTTCTCGCATGAAGCACACCAGTGTGCTTTTGCTCAAGCCTTCACTGAGGCACTCTGTGTTGCTCAGCTTTTTAATGCTGTGACTGAGACACCTGACAAGAACAACCTAGAGGAAAGGGAGTTTATTTTGGCTCAGGGTTTCAGAGGCTCATTGTATGGTGAGTGGACTCGATTGCCATGGGTCTGAGTGGGACAGAGCACCTTGGTGGAATGCCATGAGAGAGGAGGGGCATCATTCTCATGGCAGCCAGGAAGAAGAGCCAGCGAGGGGCCAGGAGCAAAATATAGAGCCCTAAGACATGTCCCCAGTGACGTGCTTCCTCCACATGCCCCACCCTCCTACAGTTTCCTCCATTCACATTATTAATCCATCCACTGATTAAGTCACAGCTCTCGCAGCCCGTCACTTACCTTTGAATGTTGCTGCCTTTTACTTCTTGTTCCAGGTACATGAGCTTTCCTGGGGACCCTGCATATCCAAGCTGTAACCCCTCCCACCCTGCCTTTCTTGGCCTGGAGCAGCCGGATGCCCTCCGTGCCTTTTCTTCTTGCGTCCCCCAGTGGAATTACCAGCCTTCTCACTTAACACTGAGTTAGGGTTTTGCATTTTCCTTCTTTCTGATTTCATCATTTTTGGATATTAGTTCCTTCTTGCAAATGCCACCTGTCACCTCTTGAAGTGCCCTGTGGCAAACACATTAAGCACGAAATAGTTCTTTGTCAAAGAATGAACACAGTTCATCACCTGTGAAGGTAGGAACATCCCTGTGGGCTGACCAGTCACATTTCCCCTCTGCTTTATCCTTAGGTATTCTTGAAGTTCTACACTGTGTGTTAGTGGAAAGTCCAGAAGCGCTAAATATTATTAAAGAAGGACATATTAAATCTATTATCTCACTTTTAGATAAGCATGGGAGAAATCATAAAGTAAGTAAGCCATTTTATTTCTGTGAATGAATTCAGGAATCATTTAAAGTGTGGCAACAGTATTCTGTACATTTTACAAAGCTTAGAAGAAAGCATTTGAATGTCTCCACCACAAAGAAATGATAAATATTTGGGCATATAGATTTCAACATTACACAACATATACATGTAGGTACTATAAAATATGTAAAATTTTAATGTTTGCATGTACTAATTAAATTAAACACATATTTTACTTTTTGTTTTTTAAGTAGCTTTTCAAAAATGTGTGGAATTTTTCACTAGTGCTTCTCATAGTGGTGGGTGGGTGACACTGATCTGTGTTTCTTTCTAGTGTCAGTGGGGTGTGAACAGCTCTTAATTTGTGGAGGGAGGTTGGAGAACCTGAGGAGTGCCCACTGTGTGTTGAAACTGCTGAGTCAGATGTCACTGGGGGTGGGTTAGCTTCCTGGAAGGTGCTGCCCAAGCCCAGATCTGAGGCCAACTCGACTCAGCAGAAATGGCTTTTCTTTCAGGTCCTGGATGTCTTGTGTTCACTCTGTGTTTGCCATGGGGTCGCCGTCCGGTCTAACCAGCATCTCATCTGTGACAATCTCCTGCCAGGACGTGATCTTTTACTGCAGACTCGTCTTGTGAACCATGTTAGCAGGTAAATTCATATGGACAATGTCACAAATGGGTCACATGGAGAAAAAGCTCTCGGTCCAGCTCTGTAGCCAGGTACAGATGTTCTCTTTGTTTTATTAGGATTTTTAGTGTATTTCCCCAGTGAATGATGTAAGGATTGTTTTGTACCAACCAGATGGTATAATGATAATAGATGAACCAAACAAAATACAGATTTATCATGAACCCAAGCTTCTGTTCATGTTCACGAGTGAATGGATTGTCCCTTATGCTTTCAGGAGCAGGCTGATGACTAAACAGGGCTGTGGTTATACCTTCTTACAGTATGACCACAATCCTTATCCTTCAGTACCACTTCAAGGTTCCCACTATGTAGGATAAAAAGGAGTCAGAAATACAACAAGTTCACGAACAGCCAATGAAATGGCATTTTCAGTCAGATCTCCTTTTAAAGGAGTCTAACGTTTGTTGGGTATAAAGTGCCGGCTACCAAGCTATGTGCTCTACACTGTCAGCGTGTGTGAGTATATGTGTTCCCAGACATTGACATTACCTCAGATTGAGGGGGATGCTGGGGGGTGGAACCCAGGTCTAGCTCCAGACCCAGCTCTTATCTGCCATGCCTCGTCACCATTTCCTTTCCTGCCCCTCGAAATAAACAAAACAGTGTTTCCCAGAGAGATGTGCTACTTCATCTTATTTTAAACAAAGGTGTGGAGCGAGTGGTGTGCCCTGCCTTGCATTGTTTGGGCAGGATTGGTTTAAGGCTTCCTTATATAATAGCCCTGTCCTAACGAGTGTATTTTCTGAGGACACCACTAATGGGGTGACTGCAGAGTGTAGGTCTCCTGATAGAAGAATTAAAATATAACTGGCCACAATTTCACAGAGGCAACGGCCCCTACTTGTCATCTTGGTTCTCTCACAAAGGAAGGGACCTGCTTCAGACTCACATCGTGTGATGTGAAGCTCAGTTTGGGAATTATCTGCATGTCTTGGGTCAGTAAAAATCCCATCAGTTCCAGAGGCCTGCTGCCCCAAGTGTCTTGCTTTGTGGCTTACATTTGATTAATGGTACAAAAGATGATGTAGAGCAAATAAGACAAACTCCTCGACACTGGAGTGGCTTTGCCCAGTAGGCCAAAAAGCAAGCACTGTTCCCTGAAGGTGAGCCTGGAGGCTGGCTGTCACCGAGTGCTGCCTTGGGTTGTTTTAACCTCTCTGTAGCACTGAAGGGGGTGCATTAGGATGGCTCCCTAGAAAAGCAGGACTGAGGTTCAGAACAGTGAGGGGCATAGGACACAGGGAGAGGCCTGGCCTCCACTTACACGGTCTTTTCCTCTTTTGAAGCATGAGACCCAACATCTTCCTGGGCGTCAGTGAAGGGTCTGCTCAGTATAAAAAGTGGTACTATGAGCTCATGGTGGATCACACTGAGCCCTTCGTGACAGCGGAAGCGACTCACCTGAGAGTGGGCTGGGCTTCCACTGAGGGGTACTCACCTTACCCCGGAGGGGGCGAGGAGTGGGGCGGCAATGGCGTTGGTGATGACCTCTTCTCCTACGGGTTTGATGGCCTTCATCTCTGGTCAGGTGAGCACTTCCCTTTTCTTTCCTGATGGACATCTTGTGACCCTGCTGTGCATGTCTGAAAGTGATTGGGGCCACTTCTGTCAGGGACACATATTATTCAGAAACTTAATATTTGAGACATTGAGTAAGAGTTGGTGGAAAGCAGAGTTTCACTACAGAAAAATAAAATAATTACAATTTTAGTACCTTGTTAAAAGGGATATTTTGCTTACGAACAGTGTATTTTAGAAATAGCATTCCAGTATATGAGTGAACTGGTCAAACTTGTGTTCTCAACTTTAATTGCCATGTACAGAGGTTAGCTTCCAATATATAAAGCACAAAACACAAACCCTGGTAAGTAATTAGAAGTAGTAGATGAGTTTAGCCTCCTCCAAGATAACAGAGAGGAAGGAATCAGAACTCTGCATGGTGCTGTGTGAGGAGACTGGCCATGATGAAATAACACTTCTCTGCAGAAGGGCAGAAAGGGTTGAAGATAAATGTATAATTCATTTTACTAGTTCCCAGTTCTGTTGCTTGAGCATATATTGAAAATGAGTACTATATGTTATAAAATAACATTCCTTTCTCTGATTCATAATGAGTCATAGTTTAGTTGATTTAAAAGCCTGGCTCTTAATTACGTAGATGCTTTATAGATGCTGGAGTTGATCTAGGTTCTGCAGACACATGCTTATGTTTGTAGAGCTGCATTTAGAACATAGTCCTGCTATGACCCTGGCATATTTTTCAAAGTATTTAGTGTGTAGAAAAGAAAGTTCAGTTATAAAAAACTGAACTTTGCCTCGTGAATACTAGTATTATTCACTTATAATGCTGTATAGGTCCAACAGCTTAAGAAAAGAAATTTAAAAATTAAAGTCAACTAAATCTGCATTCATGATAATGAGTTTGTAAAGTAAAAAGACTATTTAGTTGTATCAGACACTAAAAGCTACTGACTTTCTTCTTTATTCAATGCCAGTGTCTCAGAAGAGATGCCTTCTGGATAGTTTATCTAGGCTTATGGTCGGGGTCCTCACGGGAGGCATGCATTGCCTGCACCCAGGTTCATTGTGCTGGATGACAGCTACGGTTCCTTGTTCCCATGGTAAAGTTTCCTGTAGACCACTCAAAATCAAAAAGTGCTAACTTCAAAGGCCTGTCCAAGCTAAAATAGGGATAATGTCTATTTTTTAAATACATTACAACTATAGCCTTTGAGTCTTATCATCTCTCTAGCTCAGTATCACTCTGCAGGAAATAGGCACTTGGGCAGGTGAATGCTGTTTTCTCATTAGGCAGAGATTAGGGGTAGTAACTACTCTGAGACAAGGCCAAGTTGTTTCCAGTTACTTTAGCCTCATGCATGGCACACTGTACTGCTTTTGGTTTTGCTTTCGGTTCAAAGCCTTTCCCTTCAAGATGTTGAAAGAATCTAGTGCTTAGGAAACTGAGTTGGGCACATTGTGCCTTTTATTACAGAGTATCATTGAATAGAAGAATAAGATCAAAATCCATTTCAGATACTGAGCATATACAGGAAGGATGGGGGAGTTCTGGAATTCTGGGAGAAAATTATTTGAAACTTTTTTATGAATAGAAAATATTGGTCCATTAAAAAAAAAAAAAGGCAAGAAACTACATTTTGCCTGTTGTTGAAGGGTGCGTTCTCTCCCATGCTTTGCTAGCTTATGATTCAGAATCCACAGAGGCACGCACGTCTAGAATCTTGAGTTACGCAGGCCTGATTCATAGTAGTTCAGATCACTTTCTTAGGGTTTATGCTCCTGTTTCTTTATTTTCAGTCACTGTTGTAGAATCTAAATGGTCAATGTTAGTGACTTTGAGAAGACAACACATTCTATTAGTGAACATTTTGTAACTGGGGAGTGGAGATGTTCCTTGGCACCAGGATTTGGCCCAAAAGCAACAGTTTTGAGCTGTGTCTCCATTTATTCTAATTTTAAATGTTGTGCAGTGTTGCTCTTGAGGCATCCCAGATGTTTGAGATTGTACAGGTGTGTGAAATCTTTGTGCTCTTAAGGAATTTCAACGTAGAAGAAGAATGGAGCATGTCGGGTTTCCACCAATGCTGTCCCCTTCCTTTCTGACTAATACATGGAACAGGCGTATTGGTTCTCATGAATCCAGGATGAGTTAACTTAGATGCAACTGGAGATGCTGCTAAGTGGCTCAACCCTGAGTGCTGTTGAAACTGTAAATTCAGGTGGCTCATTGGCATCCTTCTGTCGATCTCAGACATTGCAGAACTCTTTACCAGGGTGACTGTAAGCTATTAGCATTAGTGTATAATGATGTCCCTTAAACTGAGCAGTATATTTGGATTATAGTACAACCTGTTTTGACTGTAAGAATAGCTAAAATAACATTTTTATTAACTGTAGCTTTGATACCGACACAGAAATATGCTTTTTTTTTTTCCATGAGCTGCATTGCTGCTACATAAATTTTCAAAGTTACCTTTATTATATTCAGGGAATTCTGAGCCACTTTATAGTAATTTTGTTGCTTGAAGATATGAATATTGGTGAAATAAAACGTGGCCATATTTTAAAAAGTAGATACTATCAGTGGCATTGAAAAGTGTTCTTGGTAAAAATGTTGGCATGCCCAGAGATAAAAACAAGTGTCATTAAAAACCCGAAGCCTGCAAAATGAATCTGTTTCAGTTTTTACTCAAATAGAGGGCTATGTTTGTGTTAGTTAGTGTGTGGATTTGGGAGACCCCTACCTCCCTTCTTTAAGGATGCCATGAGAAAATAGTTGCTCTTGGGACTAATTACAAAGGAGTTCTGATATATTCAGAAGAGCCTTGGTGTGTTGGTTGGCCAGGTGAAAAGGGGCATTTATCAAATAGTATTTTCCTGCCTCCAATTGCACCCTACACTAAGGATGCCATCCAAGATCTCATGTGAAATAAGTTGTAAAATAAACCAAATGGCATACAATCTTCTCACTCTGTACAATACACTGCAAGAAATAATGATCACATTTTCTTCTTTCACTATCCTTATATAATTCTGAATTTATTAAAAAAAAAGGAATATAGTATTTGAAAAAGAACCTGATGCCAAGTATCTGGTGTGACCAAGACTGATCCTTTAAACCATTGATCTAATTGTCATGGCACTTCTAGAAGATGATGGCATTTGAAATTCTGCATATTAGAATTTGAGGCTCAGGGTAGTGACATAATTTGCTGAAGGCTGCACCAGCTATGTGACAAGGCAGCTATTCCAAGTCGGATCTTTTCCTGGAAAATGTCCACTAACATCTTTGTGGCATTTGCTGTAAGGTAATTTCTACCGCAAAGCTCTTCCTGCTACATGCAGAGATTTCTGTATGTTGGGTGGTCCATTGTCTTAACAAGGCAGCCTGGATCCTGAAAAAACAAAACATTTTGTTTGTTTCCAAGAGTTTGGCATGTCACATTAGAGTGAGTCCATTCTAGCACTGTGTGTTGCTTTGTCACTGCCTAGATGCTCTGAGATGAAATTCGTTACCTTCTTTAATGTTTCTCCCCACTAGGTTGTATTGCCCGCACTGTAAGCTCACCAAACCAGCACCTGCTGAGAACTGATGATGTCATCAGTTGCTGTTTAGATCTAAGTGCCCCCAGCATCTCATTCCGAATTAATGGACAGCCGGTTCAAGGAATGTTTGAGAATTTCAACATTGATGGCCTCTTCTTTCCAGTTGTTAGTTTCTCTGCAGGAATAAAGTTAGTATGCCTCTGTTTTTTGGGTCTGTTTCCCTTCTCACTTTTCACCCTTCTGCAGAAGGATCTGTCCTGCTGCCACCCTGCTTCTCTAACCTTTATTCCTTCCTCCTGGTGTCTGTCTGCAGGGCATTTGGCCTGTTCCTTCAAGGCAGAGGTAAGGTTTGCCCAAGAGGAGCTCTCGGGAAGCTGGGTGCTTTGCTCACCTATTCGTCCATTTAGCCCTGGATAGCAATGTTCCCTCAAGCCAGCGTCCTAAAATGTATTTCTTAGGATCGTTGTACTATGAAATAAGGGGAAGTTTATAATACCACTAAAAACACCACTTTTTTATATTTATTTTCACTGTTTCCTTTTTTCCTACCTGGTCCCCCATCCTACCACAAACCCGTTCATTTTGGAGAAATTCATTGCCCTTTCTGTTGAGATCACGTGGCTCTTCCACCTGTTTCACTGGTAAATTCTCTGCCTGTGATCAACTGTATCAAGATGGTTTCCTCCAGCTGTTTTCTCGGTTTTTGCTACTACCAGAGAGAAACAAACTGAAACAGTAGTTCCCTGGCATTTTACAGAGAAAACTTGAGTGTGTGATGATCAGCATCATCTTGAATTAGATTATGATCTTGAGTGATCTAACCAGGGGCCACCCTGTCATCCACTAGGATCTACGTGGGCCTCCCTTGTTCTTGCTGACCATTGTACATTTTGATTATTCTTTTACTTATATTGCTCCTCCCAGGAATAATTTCTAGTTTAAAAAACACCATCTTGAATAAGAACAGAATAATGTTCTTTTTGCTTTTTGCTTGGGGGGACAACATGGAGAATTCAAATTCCTTCCTCCACTTGGGTATGCTCCTTGTTGTAAAGCTGTTCTGCCCAAGGAAAAGCTGTATCAATGACATTTTCTGGTATATTTATTCAAATCGTGTTTGTTCCTATAAACTTCAAGTTGTTTCAAAGCTTCTGTTTTTCCTCACTTTTTGCTCTTCTTTTTCTTATTGTTTTTTGACCTGGAACTGAAACAAAAGTTAGAAAAGAAATTACAAGGGGGACTGGAGATGTGGCTCTTGTGGTAGCGTGCTTGCTTGGCATGTATGGGGCCCTGGGTTCGATCCTTAGCAACACATAAAAAATAAAGATGTTGTGTCCACTGAGAAATAAAAAATAAAATTCTCTCTCTCTCTTTAAAAAAAGAAAAAGAAAAAAGAAATTTCAAAGGAAATTAAAAATTTGCTCTTATTTTTGTAAGCCAAGAGCCCCAAGATATTGATACATTGATTAGCTTCAAAAAGCATTGTCCAGTAGAACTCAGATTATTTTTAATTAAATGAAAATGATGTCTAAATACTTTAGAAAGTTTAGTTATTGCTGTTGAAATTGGAAAACAATAAGAAATAAAGTTTATGTGCTATCTTCAGCAAATGTAGTTGATAACCTGACTCCACTTAAAGGAATTTCATCAGTAAATTAGGTGCTGGAAAGTGGTTATTGCCTCACTTCTAGTCCAGCCCAGTATTGTTAAGCCTATAGATACTTAGATCTTATCTTCTTTTCCTCTTTTTATTCCTTGGGGCATTGAGTGGCCAGTTACTGTGGACTTGCACTTCACTGATATAGAAGTATGTATGTGCTTTTAGTTATTTCTCTCGCGACCACCAGGTCTCCACTGGCCCACAGATGCACATTAACCAGGTTTTGTCTTTGGATCAGTGCGATGCCCTCATGTTTCGCCTTTTATTGTTAGAGGGTTTTGGATTCTAAAGTGATGCCATTATGATAGTACTTAGGAAATAATGCAGCTTCTGATAAAGTTAATTTGCACTAATATTTTTTCCTATAAATTTTGCTGATTAGAAAACTTTTACATTCACTAAGAATGTAGTTGACTCTGTATACGTCCTTTTTAGGGTTCGCTTTTTGCTTGGGGGGCGACATGGAGAATTCAAATTCCTTCCTCCACCTGGGTATGCTCCTTGTTACGAAGCTGTTCTGCCCAAGGAAAAGCTGAAAGTGGAGCACAGCAGGGAGTACAAGCAGGAGAGGACGTACACGCGAGACTTGCTGGGCCCCACGGTGTCCCTGACACAAGCCGCCTTCACACCAATCCCCGTGGACACCACCCAGGTATGGAGATCAGCCCTGTGGACAGCGCTTGTGCCCTCATTATGTGGACACATAGTGGGACTGCAGCCTGCACTGCTACCCTCAGGGATGCATTTTCAGCAATGCAACCGATGTGTCTGCTTGCAGCACATCCCATAAAATAATAGTCCCCTTTCCCACCACCCCACCCATCTTGTGTTCTATTTCTTTTCTGAAAAACAGAGTCATCCCACTGCCAAATTTTTTTCATAGAGCACAAATGTGTCCCGACCTCAAGTTTTAAAAGCATTGTTCAAGATTGTCTTTAAGGTTTTGTTAAAGTAGTCAATATAATTTAGTTTATGACATGCATATTATACTTTAAAAAACAGGCAGTGAAAGCAGCAGGTGAAGCTTAGGCACACATTACGCAAGTGACTTCAAGGTGTAACAGTGTCAGGATGACTTGATATTGGGGAGCAAACTGCACTTGAAGTAGCACCACATTGGTGTGATACATACTGAGTTGGAGTGCACTTTTGTACATAGAACAGAGTTGGAGATTTTTATTTCTTTCCTCCAGATGCTCTTGTTATGTTGAAATGATTAGCTGACCTTACCTTGGGGAAAGATTGAGAACTTGGGCACTGGGGTTAAGATGCCTGGGATAAGTTGTCTTCTCTGTGACTGTGGGGAAGGTAGAGGCCTTACTGATTGGGATTCTGAGGCCATTTGGCACGGTTAGCCCATAACACCTCCTCACAGGTGGACACCCAGGGATATCAGCCACCATTCATGCCTTCCTCTCTGGTAGACATATCGGGTTCTGAGGTTGACAGTGAATTAAACATGGCCCCAATGACCTCAGTGAGGTTGGCTCCATAATCAAGTTGATTAGCTTTTGAAGACATCAATGCTGAATTAATAACAAGGCCTCATAAATTTTATTTCTTTATCAACCACTTGTTTGGCTCCCTGAGTCACATTTCTGGTTTCACCCTGCAGATTTTTGATATTATATAGGTAAAGTAAGTGTTCAAACATTATTCATGTCTGGTTTCAGTTTGTGTTGTCCCTTGTAGAAACGTGGCAGGATACGTTTAGTGTTACCTAGGTTTATCAGGAAACCAGAAATCTTGGGAAGATGAAAATGGGCAGTGGGGTTGTGCACTGCTATTGTGTAGAGGTCACCTAAGATCTTGATAACTGCAGCCAGTGCAGGGAGAGGGCACAGAGGTAGCTGCTCCCTGTGGAAATGGTGCCTCCTGAATGGGCTTGCAGGCGTTTGCCCTGCTGAGCAACTGGTATGGGGCCACACAGGAGGGCTTGCTTTATCAAGACAGAAAAACCCAGCTCCCCACCCTGAAAACATTTTGTGCTACTTATCAAGAGGTCATGAAACTTCTTCCTTTTAATGAGAACAGGTAAATGTGTTCCCCCCCCCCCTGAAAATTTTGTTTGGAAACCACTAAAAGAACTGAGTACTGGTTCAGGGGAAACACAGTTACTGCAGTCAGACATCTACAGGCACAAAGAGCCCATGGAATATAACTGGCTTCCTGTCCCCCCTGGCCTGTGGACGCCAGCCAGGTGGGTGTAAGAGCATTGGAGTGATTTATCTTTTTAAATAATGCACCCCTTGGTAGTTGTCCCATGGCCGTTAGTGGTTCCCATCAATACTCCATTTACTTTGTTTACTCTTCTCCCTGAAACCTAAGTATTCACCAAAAAATAAATTTAAAAAAGGGTCCCCAAGTTTGCCTAAAGAGGGCTGTGGAATAGGTGATTTAGGATGAGTTATCATGTTGTATCTTAATGGCTCATGAGGCATTGTTATGACCCAGCACTGTGCTACTTGTGTTTCTCATGTGTGTTTTTTCTTTTTTTTTTTTAATTTTAGATTGTGTTGCCTCCTCACCTGGAAAGGATAAGAGAAAAACTGGCAGAGAATATCCATGAGTTGTGGGTTATGAATAAAATCGAACTTGGCTGGCAGTATGGTCCGGTACATAATTTTGAAATTTATTTTTAGATTCTGTTAATACATCTTTCTAAATACAAATCCTTTTTTCCCTTGTCCTGCTATAGGGTGACATGAATCAATTGGATTGATTTTGTTTTTTCTGCATGTTAGCTCTGTGCAGGTTTTATTTTTATTTTCTAAAGGGACTGACATTATTTGCAGGCTCCTTGAAGGATGGTTTAGTTGCCTAAGTCATTGAAAGTTATCTTTGAACTGCAAGTTATATTTTCAAATCAAGATTAATAGACAACAGGCATTTCTAAGCCACTTAAAAAATACCTCAAACCTAAAGTAAAAAGAAGTAAGTCCATTTTCTTTCCTCTGTCTGATCTTCCTCTCCTCTTAGTTCAAGCTGTACATAGTAGACTGAGATTTGTGAGTAGAACTTCACAGTTGGTTTCACAGTAGGAGGATAGGTCAAGAAGTAATGATTAAATGTTTCTAAATGCTTAATTTCTAAATATCTTAGAGTTTTTCAATAAATTGAAAGACCTCTTTTTAGTAGGACCTTGTTACTACTTTTGTTTTATAATCTTGTTATTCTAAATATCTCAAAGGTTGTAGTGCTTTATTATAGAAACAAAGAACTTAGAAATACAGAAATTATTCCTCCAAGTAATAGTTTATTGCTTCAAGCTCTGAATGAAGCTCGTGTAAGTTGTACTACCAGGTACTCAACACCACTCAGTAGTGTTCCTCTGCAGATGGCTTTGCATTCTCACAGAATATCCAGTTGAGTTGTCATTAGAGTGCGATGGGTTACGTGTTGGTATTTGTTTATCTGATGACATAGCTGAGGCTCTTTGCAGGGTTGTTAAATGCCTTTGAAGAAGTCCTATAGCTAGTGAGTAGCAGATCCAGCACTGGAACCCAGGTTTTCTAACTTCCAGTGGAGAGCTGGCTTTCACTACAAAACTTGCCAAAGCATGTCCAGAGATGAAGTCCTTGCATTAACTAGACAGTGGTTAGATATTTGTTACATCAGCAAACACTCATTCAGTATCTAATTGGGTATTGCATGCCTTGATTCTTAAAAATTGAGAAGTGGATAAATGTTAAAAAAAATAAAATAAAATGAATATGAGCCCCCAGTTAAAATTAGTAGGAGAGAGAGATTATAAATGTGTACATAGTTGGATGCCAGAGGAATTAGATACAATTCACCAAAAGTTTTAAGATGAAGCAAAGATGATTATAGGCTAGGAAAATTGAAAAGAGCTCATGCAGAAAAATAAAAGAGCAATTCGCATGCCTCTGGGGTAAGAGCAGCTCTCTTCTGGGGCTGAGCTTAGTGAAGACGCTATTCACCACAAGCTCATAAATCACCTCAATAGTTATGCTTTTCAGTAAAGTGTTATGTGTCCTCTTTAAAAATGGAAAAGGCTGGGGTTGTGGCTCAGTGGTAGAGTGCTTGCCTAGCATGTGTGAGACCCTGGGTTCGATCCTCAGCACCACATAAAAATAAAAGATATTGTGTCCACCTACAACTCAAAAATTATTTTTTAAAAATGGAGCTAAATTCAGTTTCATTCAATACTATACAGACTATTCCTGCTGTATGCACAACTCTGAGTTTTCAGAGTCTCAGGTAGAACAGTGGCACGCACACACACACCCACACACACACACCCCATTGCCTGAAGTTACCCTTGCTTGGTCCAGGGTGCTCTGAATCAACTTGAACCTCATGTGGCTCCAGGGAAGAGACTGGGTCTCTGCAGTCCTGCTGCCATCTGCCCCTTTCCTGAACTGTGCTCCAAAAATACTTACTGCAGTTTCTCAGGACCCTTCTGGGCAAGTCCTGTTCTGGGTTCCATGTCATCTCTTTGGGGAAGTCTTAAAGTGACATATGAGATTTTGCATCTCCTCTCTTTGAACACATGACTTGTGTCCAGCTTGTTTATAAGATCTTCCCTGAAACTCCTTTCAGTTGAATAGTTAGAGATCCAAACCTTAAGATCACTCTTATTCTAGAGTAAGATATTGGCCAGTGTATAGGCTAAGTCACAAGTGTGTTAACATTGTAAATAAGTTTGTGTGTTTAGGAATTTATGCTTAGCTGCCTGGTGTGCTGAGTTGGTACTTTTCTGCATAGATTTTATAGTTGATCTGGGCTACTTTCCCAGGAGCATCATGTGGGGGCTCTGTTTTATAGAACAACACCAGGTAGATCCATTCTATCATTTATATGTCCCTTTAACATTTATTGCTTGCCTTCCACTAGCCTGGTTGTGCTTGGTAGTGGGCACCCAAATTTGGAAAGACTTTGGCTCTAAGATACTGTGTTTACCTTTTAGGAGCATCCTGTTCAGCTCAGTGAATTCATGCCAATAGTCACAGAGAGAAAAGGAACACACAGGTCTCTTCTGAGAAATCTGGGGGCTTCCAGGAGATAGATGTCAGCCCCGAGGCCAGGAACAGTCAGAGCAGGACCAGATTCTGGGCAGAGGAGCCAGTGTGTAAAGTGAGCAGGGGAAGGAACCCGGCATCTGCACTGGCTATTGGGTAGCACAGCACAGAGACAGTGCTGTGTACAGAACCCTGGGAAGTCTGGCCACTCAGGCAGGGGCAGTGTGCTTTTACTCTGTGAGGAGCTGAGAGCTTAAAGAATGCTAAAGAATGCTGAGAAAGGGCGGTGATGTTCTCAGGTCCCTGCACTGAGAGAGCTGTGTTGTCCCATGGAAGAGCCATAGCCCTAGGGGATGGGCAATGAATGTCCCCACTCTGCCTGACCTGGGGACAAAGGGCATGATTGCAGGAGATTCAGGGTTCAAGAATGCCACATGAAAGAGCAGGTTCTGTTTTGTTCCAGGCACCTGAGAGGACAGTGGCATAGGCTCTTCTCTGAGGCAGAGATGAAAGTAGAGTTCCATGCAGGTTTACCTTGGGACTGACACATGTTCACTTTTTATTTAATGTTTAGAATTTAGTGTTAGATATTTCTCAAGCTAAATTTTAGAACTTAGTTTCATGTATAAGTCCGATTCTTTTGTTATGATGCAAGAAAACAATGAAGAGGTTATTTCTAACCTGGCGATTCATGAAGACAAAGAAAGTCCTCCTTTCTGTTTGCATACTTTTCCTGTGGCATTTGGAGAACCTGGTAATTATTCCTATGGAGGAATGTGTTCCCTAACAGCATATGGCTGTCATCTAGTGCCACTGAGGCACTAGTGCTGTAATTAGGTCTCTAAGAAGAAAATTTGCTGATGTAACAATTACCAATGCAAGAATAGGGAACATCTTCCTCATTCCTGAAATCTTAAATTTGGTTTAATGTCATTGATAATACAATGTCCAAGTTGGTTCTCTGTTATCTTTGGTTTCCACATTTACGGATTCAACTAACTGTAGATCAAAAATATTCAAGAAAAAGAGATTTCATCTGCATTGGACATATGTGGACTCCTATTTCTTGTCTTTTTTTCTAAACAATACAGTGTAATGACTATTTACTTATTATCTACTTTTCATCAGATAATGTAAGTAATTTAGAGACAATTTAATATATCCAGGTTGGTGCTCTAAGGTTTTAGACAAACGCTGCCATTTTAAAGAAGGAGCTAGAGCATCTATGGGTTTAGGTATCCATGAAGAGGTCTGGACTCCACTTCTTAGGGACAGCTGTGCATACCAAGGGTTACTATGAAAAATGCCTATGTTAAGCTAATCAGTTTTGTTGAGACAATAGAGTGATTTGTGAGAGTGGAGATAACTTACAAGGGATGAAATGAACAGCCGGGACGATTCAATAAGTTCAGTATTAGTCAATCATGTTGTTTATTGATGTCTGTAACCAGGTTTGTGCTAAGCAGAAAACTGCAAATTTTAACTAAGTCCATACCACATGTTTTTACACAGGATTTGTTTTAATTTATTAAACTTATTGAGTGTCTGCCATGCATCAGGCACATTCTAGGTGTTTGGAAAACATCAAAGAACAAAAGAACCAAATCCTTGCTCCTTTCTTCTTCCAAGATTAGGGAGACAGAAAATAAATAGAGAAGGATCTAGTCTGTTAAGTATTTTGGACAAATAAAAAGAGTAAGATGGGTGGCACACTGCCCTGTTAGGAAGGCTGGTGAACCTCGTGGAGAAAGTGAGATTTGAGCAAATGCTGGAAGGAGTGGAGCGATCCTGGTGTGGACGTCAGGAGAGAAGCATGCATGGCAGAGGCCCATGGGAACTGAGGCATGGACAGGGCCAGGGAGCAGGGAGTGCAGAGGATGCCACCCTACTGCTGACCCTTGACCTGACCTGGGCTAGGGATCCCAGGACAGCATCCCTGGGCAGTGCCCTGAGTGCTGCTTATTGTGCTGGGTCTCCACTGCCACCCACTGAAGCACCATTGCTTGTGTCTGATATCTGAGAGTACTCCATGCCCATTTTCTGTTGTGTTCCAGGTTAGAGATGACAATAAGAGGCAGCACCCGTGTCTGGTGGAGTTCTCCAAGCTGCCTGAACAGGAGCGCAATTACAATTTACAGATGTCGCTCGAGACCCTCAAGTGAGTTACTCAGCTTTTTCATTTTCCAATCCATGTCACCTAAAAGAAGCCAGAGAAGAGAGCTTTTACTCTCACTATGAAATTAGTTGAATTCTAGCTAGAACTTTCCAGAATGTATAGGTGGTTTGGATGGATATTTGTTGGGAATATGTTGTGTCTTTTTGCTCCACTTGAGCATTTCCCAAAAGGCATACTACAGGTGTCAATGGATATTATAGAGTACGGGGATTTCGTGATCCTGTGCGGTGCTACTCAGAGTATGGGCCAGGAACCAGGCCAGTCTAAACTTGTTACTGATCCTGTGCCAAGACGAGTAAAGATATTACTTCTAAATGCTTAGGAATTTTATCCCTATTTAAGGGAAAAATTTAATGCCTGTTAAGCTGATAACTTGAAATGTTGTCATTTTGAAATGTTAATTCTACTCGAAAAGTTTTATTTTATCTTATTAGAGATTGAGACCATGATGAACTGGAAATTAAAAGAAAACTAGTCCTTTGTCATAGATGGTTTTAGAAGTACTGAACTGACCTATTTAAAGGGTGCTGGATTAAAACTGTTAAAGAAGTGTAATTTTTGCTGATTTCATCCCTTGTAAGTTATCTTCACTTCACAAATCACTCTATTGCCAGTCATTATGTTGCTTCAGGACTTTCCACACCTGTGTGCTGTCAATAGCTAATATGGTGGAGTTAGCCTCTGGTGTTTCTAGGTGTACTTAGCCACAACACCCTTTTTGGGGAAGTCCTAGAGGGACTTCCTATCTGGACAGCACTGTTGGGGAAAAGCTCTTGTGAGCGATTTTATATCGTCTCATAAAGGCAACTTTGCTCTTCACTGGCTTTGTGCCCACTGAGCTCTTGAATTGGCCACTTTCCTTTGCAGAGGTAAGTGGGACTGAGTAGAATAAAGAAGGAATGTACTTTCAAATTTAGGTAAAAAGTTAAGAAAATGTTTTTGAAAGGCCTGTGACTTTTCTTTAGGCTCTTTCATCCTTTATGTCCTGTAGAACTGGTTTTATGCACATAGGTCACTACCTGGTACATTTTTGTTTGTCCTTTTGATTTGTTTCTGTTTTCAAAGAGTAAGGAGTTATTTCCATTGAAGCCTTTTTACCAAGGACCAGAACATAAAACTTAAATAATGTTTCAGATTCTAGGATTTGGGAAATAAACAAATGAAGTCTCTGCTTTATTAAAACAAAGTAAGTCTCTGTTTTTATTTAAACAAAGTAAGTCTCTGTTTTATTCGCAGCTTTTTTGCTGTTTTGTTAGTTTTGAGTACTGGGAATTGGATCCAAAGGCACTCTTCTACTGAACTACATCCTCAGCCCTTCTAACTTTTTTTTTTTTTTAATTTTGAAATGAGGTCTGTTTAAAGCTGGTCTCAAAGTTGTGATCATCCTTTCTCAGCCTCCAGGTAGCTGGGATTTCAGGCATGCCTCCTTTTAGTAACTTAAAAGGAGGAGGAATACACACAAATCAAGTAACTTAAGACTTTACTGAAGATGGCACAAGAGGGCTTGCCTGTCTGAGCAGTGCATTGTGTCTGAACCCTGGGATTTTATACTTAGTGTGTCCTGCCTTTCCTTGGGTCATAGCATGAGGTTTGTATATTTAGCTTAGTAATTCATGGCAACTCATGATTTCCCCATCTTTTACAACATAATTTAGTTAAATCTGAACTACATCCCTGTAATTTTAGTGATTGACAGATAGGACATCTATCACAAAGAGTAAATCCTGGAGTGTAGAAATCATATTTGCATGTAATGCTGAGCCCCGCCTGCTGTGAATAATCCACTCTCATTCCTGACAGTTACTTGTGGATGGTTTGATGAATCATTAGATGCATGAACTGTGGTGTCACTCCCTATGGTGAATGCTAACGACCTTTTTCATGAGCTCATTCTTAACATTTCTTTGCTAATGTTTCTTATAGCTACTGCAGTGTTTGTTTATATGGTTTCTGATGAAATGATTTTACCTATTTTCGTTAAAAATGAAGGGGTAAAGCTCTTCTTCCCAAATTCACACTGTGTCCATTTCCACTGTGCAGAAGAAGTAGGGTGCTTTCTGTGTTTCTATTGTTCATTTACTTATTTGGCAAGGGCCCCAGCAAAGTTCCTGAGAGAATAGCATCTGGCCTTGGGGGGCCAGGGCCCAAGGACTTGCTCCACCAAGGCAATCTTGGAGTGAATCGGCCTTGCTGATCTTAGACTTTGTTCTCCTTGTTCATTGGTGATGGTAATGTGTGTACTTCATGGCATGATGTGGGGGCTCAGTGACAGCATTCTGGTGAAGCCTTCACAACCACCTGTCTGGCAGAGCAAGCACCATCCAGGATTTCTATTGCTGGCTTTACAGTATGTCATGGAGGGTGTATATATTTGTTCATTGAATCCTGACACATGACAATAGTGAAGATGCAGAAAATTGTTCCAGCATGTTGCTCATTTTGGATGGAGTGGGTGATTTACTGTGAATATAATGTGGTGCTCTCTCTGTGACCATGTAAATAATTGGCAGATGACTTACTCTAGACCTGAACTATCACCTGTATATGGTGTATCACCATGGAGACTTGTGAACAGCACAGGTCACTGGAGTGTGCAGCCAGGTATCCCTGAGTGGACTGGGGGGTTCTAGCTTCTGGTTTAATGCTCATTTGATACAATATTGTACAAATTTCAGGTCTTAAATTATGAATCAATAAGTCAGGGTTTGGAAATTCATATTATAATGGTGTTTAACCAAAACAACATGCTTTTGTAGAATGTTTAGATGTCAGTGATGTTTTTCCTGGCTACATATTTTTTTTTCTTGAGCATCATTTGTAGGGCACTGGTACATATATGGGGGCAGGAGAGGGTGGAATGAGGGACACAGGACAGTGGAGAAGAGCGACACCGGGGGAGATGGTAGGTAAGGGCAAGCCATCACTGTTTTCTAAAGGAGCAGGTGGTCCTCCCTCTTCTCCCTCTTCTGTGCTTGTTTTTGTAGTTGGTCATTGCTGGCACCGATCTTCCCAGTCATGCATGTTTCCATCTTTATGTTCAACCCTGGGCCCTTTATTCTCCTGGAACATACTCTCTGCAGATGTTCTCATTACACCCATGATTTAATACCACACAGGTGCTCACAGTGCCCCACTGTTGATCCTTAACACAGACACCTGCTTTAAGGGGAGGAGGTGTATACCCAGCCCACAGGTGACATGCTCCTCAGTGCATCATGAAGCACCGTCACCTCTTTGTCAACTGTGCTTCCGGCCACTTACCTGGCTGCACAGCCAGGAACCTGGAGTCATCCTGAACACCTCCTTTTGTCTTAACCTGTGTCCAGCTCATCATTAGTCCCTCCAAGTGCAGCTCCAGTGTGTCCCCCGCCCCCACTGCTGCTGTGCATGCCATCACTGTCACCCAGACTACTCACAGACTCCCAGCTGGTTTCCCACCCTGTCTCCACACCGCACATGGAATCCCATGTTTGCACACATGCACATCCCACCCATGGGATGCTTAAAGTCCTTTAGTGACTTCTTGGTGCTCTTGAACCCCATATCCTCACAGGAGCTACAGGGCCTGCTGTGTCTGTGCCTTACCCTCCCTTGTTCCTGTGTTCCAGCTCCCACGAGCTCTTCCTTCCAGTGAGCTTAGTGTTTTTCTGCCTTGTCTGTTCCCTTTCCTTTCCCTGGAAAGTTCTCTACCTAAGGCTCACATGGCTTCTTCTCTGCTTACACTAATGTCACTTCCTTGGTAGAGATTTTCCCATCACTTCCTGCCTTCTCTTAGAACATCTTTCAGAATTTTTATAGCTCTCATTATAATTCATAATCTCACTTCCAGGGTTGTTTAATATCTGCCTTTCTTGTGAGACTCTAAGCTTCATGGAGGCAGATGCCATAGTTATTTTTATGATAATTTTTTAGAGCAGCTTAGGTTCCCAGCAGAAGTGTAGAGGAAGGCAGGGTTTCCCCCATGCCATGCTCATCACCATCATCCACATGCCCCACCAGGTGCCTTTGTTACACTGATGAACCCACATTGACACATCATTAGTACCTGGTGTCCACAGCAGGGGCTCAAAAGCAGTCATGTTGGGAGTCCTTACAGGGTATTCCCCCCACATTTCCTCCGGATGACTGCTTGCTTGCACATTATACATATTTCCCAAACTTTGATATTTTTTTTATCCTTCTCCATCTTAGGCTTCTTTGAGTTTCTCTCTTTCCTGCTTGTAGGTGCCCCAGAACAGACCAGGTGTCTGGGAGTCTATTGGGCTTCCTCATTCACTCACAGCTTCTAATCACCCTTTAACTCCCGCTTCTTGTCTGTTTTTAGTCCCCTTTTAAGTCACATATTCTTTATTTAGAATGTGTATTTGGACATCTATTGCTCTATCAATCTCTCCATCAATCCATCCATGTCAATATGGTTAAATGGACTTCCATAAACATGGAAATCTAGGTAGGCAGGTAGGTGCATACGGAGTGGGAGGTGGTGAGTGTACTCAGCGTAAGAGGTTGTTCATTGCAGCATTGTTTATAATAGCTGAGGACTGAAGATTGCCTTGAAGACAATGAAAAGAAAATGGATTAAAAACATTCTGATGTTCCCAACTCCAGGGAGGTTAAAACACAAATCAGCTTTACAAGAAAGGATAGTGATCTGAAGGTTGTAGTATAAAGTCAAAGTGTGAGTCTTAGAGAAATGCCTCTTGTATATGCCCATTTGAGTGAAAGGCAGAAACACCACTATTGGGACACACATTCACATAGACGTACGTTTTTCTTTAGTGTGCGCAGACCCCCATTCTTGTACTGCAGATGTACAAGAAGGGCAGCAGTCGGTGCCTCTGGGGCAGGAAAAAGCTCTAGACAGAAGGCATGGGGGAGACGTAACTTTCCAGTAACTCCTTTGTGCCATTTCAATTTTCAGGGTCTTACTCGTTATTCAAAAGTAAAGAATTGAAAATAAAAAAATTTTGTTCAGGACTGGGACCATAGCTCAGTGGCAGACACTTGCCTGGCATATATGAGACATTGGACTCATCCTTAGCACCACGTAAAAAAATAAATCAATAAAATAAAGTCAGGCTATCCATCCACAACTATTTAAATTTTTTTAAAAATTTTGTTTGGCTTTAAGACAACAGACTGGTGCTGTGCTTTGAGTGTGGGTCACTGTCCCTTTCACAGCTGTGAGGTTGTGATGTCTGGACATGGGGAAGGCACCTGCAGCTCATGTCTGCTTTTGTTTTGCAGGACTTTGTTGGCACTGGGATGTCACGTGGGTATAGCGGATGAACATGCTGAAGAAAAGGTGAAAAAAATGAAGCTCCCCAAGAAGTAAGTTGAGTGACAGGCAGTGACCCTGCACTCCAGGGTGCATTCTGTGCAGCCTGCTCAGACCCAGGGAGACCTGGGTGCCCCGCTGGCACTTGGCCATCCAGTTCAGACTCAGAAATCCAAATGAGCCAAGTCTCAGGGGCTGCTGCATGTCTGTGGTGGGCAGTAGACTCTCAGGTAGCTGAGAGGAGGAGCAAAGTTCAGTGTGTGCTTGGTAGTGTTCTATAGAGTCTTATTCCTGGTGTCTCTGTGTGTGAACACTTATATCTGTATTTATGATTTTATGACTTTCCACTTTCTATCAAAATCATTTATAATTTTATTTTATAAAGAAAACATGCTGAAGGAATAATTACGAAGTCAGTTTTGTTATTTCTGTTTGAAGACAGGAAAGGAGCAGGCACATGCTGTGGGAGTGGCTCTGCCTGCAGCGCTGTGACCTGTACCTGTGGCAGGGCTTAGCCTTGTAAACATCAGTGACCTCACTGCTAACCGTCCTTGAAGTTACGTGCTTCATAGAGAAGTGTTAGGTACTAAATGACCAGGTATATGATGAATAGTAGCTGTTTTGTGATGTTACTGTTTTTTCATTTATTCTAACATAGATATTCAAGCCACTATTTGCAGACCACATGTTATTTTTTCACATATTTTTATTGGTTCATTATAGTGGTACATGATGATGAGATTTATTATTACATATTCATACATGCAAACAATATAACAATATCATTTGGTCACTCTCTGGCACTTCCTCACTCACTCCTCACCTCCTTTGGTCTCTTTTCTCTGAGTCTCCCTTTGATTTTCATGAGAACTGCCCCTATTTTACTTATCTTCAGCTTCTGCATATAAGAGAAAACACATGACTCTTGACCTTCTGAGTTAGTTCATGTAAAATGATGTTCTCTAGTTCCATCCATTTTTCTGCAAATGACATAATTTCATTTTTCTTTATGGCTAACTAAAGAAAAAGGGATACAAAAATTATATATCACATTTTCTTTATCCATTCCCATTGATGGACATCTAGGATGGTTCCGTAGTTTGGCTACTGTGAATTGTGCTGCTATGAACATGAGTACGCATGTGTCACTGTAGTAAGATGAGTTTAATTCTTCAGGATAAATACTGAGAAGTGACATAGCTGGGTCGTATGGTGTTTTCATGCCTAATCTTTGAGGAAACTCCTTTCTGATCTCCATAGTGGTTGTACTAATAATATACAGTTGCACCAGCAGTTTAAAAGTGTCCGTTTTCTCCATGGCCTCTCTAGCATTTATTATTATTTATATTCTTGATGACTTCCATTTTAACTGGTGTGAGATGAAATCTCAGTGAAGTTTTTTCTTTTCTCTTCGAGCTTTATAGTTGTACGTAGCATTGGGTTCACCCTGATAAACTCATACCTGCATAGAATTCAGTTTCAGTTCATGATCCTCTTTCCCTCCTCTCTTTCCTCCCTTCTCCCATTCTCCTTCCTCAGTGTAGTTGATTTGCATTTCCCTAATTGCAAGTGATGTTGAACATTGTTTCATATATTTGTTGGTCATTTTAGCTGCTGCTTTTGAAAATTTATTGATTCATTTGCTTGTTTATTAATTGATTTTTTTGGTGTTACCTTTTTTTCAACCCTTTATATATTCTAGATATTAATCCTCTGTTAGAAGAGTAGCTAGCAAAGAATTTCTCCCATTCTGTAGGTTCTCACTTTCTTAAATTGTTTCCTTTGCTATGCATAAGCTTTTTAATTTGATGTCATTCCATAACTCTTGGCATTATTTCCTGAGCTTTAGGGGTCCTATTGAGAAAATCATTATGCCTAATGTGTTGACCCTACATTGCCTTCTAGGAGTTGCATAGTTTTTGGTCTAATTTTAGGACTTTGGTCCATTTTGAGTTGAGTGCAGGTTAAGAGATAAAGGTCTAGTTTCATTTTCTACATATGGGTAACATATGGTTACTCCAGCACCATTTGTTAAAAGTTCTGTCTTTTCTCCAGCGTATGGTTTGGTGCCTTTGTCAAGGATCAGATGTCTACAAATTTGTGGGTTTATCTCTGTGTCTTCTATTCTGTACCGCTGGTGGAGACCACACATTATCAGTAGCAGTTCTGGGAATGTGGTAAATAATACCATGGAGATGAGAACAAAGTAGCCCCTCTTCATGTGTGTTGTATCCCCAGGCTTCGGGCTCCCCTAGATAAACATGAAACCCAAGTGGAAATGTTGTTTCTGCTGAAATCGCAGCCATACCAGACAGGGCCTCGTGCAGCAGGCTGTACACATGGTGCTCAGTGCTTCCAGAGAGAGCTGGTGGAAGCTGTGTCATGACCTTGCAAGTTCTTAGGTTCTAGATGTGTTCTCCAAACATGTGAACAGGAGGAAAAGGTGTGATTTTTTATGGTACGTTTCATACATTTGTGTCTTGAAGTGATTCTTTCTCTTCAGTTTCTTTCTCATGGTAACAGCTGAGATATCTGCCATCAGAATCTACTTAAAAACCACATGAAAATATCGATAACTGGGGAATTTTACATTGTTCATTTTTCTCTGAAGTGTCTTTCCAGTCCATTTGCCCCACACTAGATCATACTGTTGAGTGATGTTCTTTTGTCCAGCAGTCTTTGCCTTTGAGACAAATTGCAAGATCAGTTGCATTCTTTGTTCACATACATAATTTTTGTTATTAAAAGATCATTCAGTTCAGTGAACCAAAAATCACTGTTGTTTATCATGAAAACTCCCACTTAATGATCTTTCTGGTGACAACTCAATCAGGCCTTTGTTCAATTTTTGGGGAAGAAAATAATTGGAAACTGAGTAATTTGCAAAATAATTTATTATTCTGTCATTAGAGTCATTCAGTTTTCTCAGATTTTTGAAATGTATATGAAAAAGGTGCTAAAAAGATAAAAAAAAAAAACCCAAACACAACAAATCAGTATACCAGTTTCTCTTTCACCTAGATAAAATAATGGAAACATTAATTTCATATTATCTTTGAAAGTATATCGTAGTTAATAATTGTTATACTGTACTCTCTGTGTGTGTTTGTGTTATATGTGTGTGTTATGTATGTGGTTGTACTTCACTAAAACCTTGGGGTATAATTTTTCTTGTTCCATTAGTGGATTTTTTTTTTTTTTGCCTTGTAACCTAGTTGGTAAAGCTGATTTTTCACTATCAAAACAAATCATTAAAATAATTACCTTTTCTCATAAAGAAGTGTTTCTTTTACTGTTGAACCAACTGGGTTAATACATGTCCATGTAATAACCACCTCAGTTCTTTCTAAATTTCAGACACAGGATTTGCAGTACATTTGTCTCCTAGAGGAACTGAGTCCTCTCCCTGTGGTATTATAATGAGAACTTCTCTCACCTGTGGTCTGTACTATTTCTTAGTTCACCATGAGATACCATTTAATTTTTATTCCAGCTGCCACAGGGAATTGGCAGTAACTGTATCAACATGGATACAGGTCAGCATGACCTGAAAGGGCGGAGTTTCAGAACCATTTTAAAGTGTTTTGGCCTCATGGTATCAAGTTGTGCACTCGCACACCTTCTCAGCCAGTGGCTCCACCCTTGGAGAGGTGCCCTGGAGAGAGAGTACACCAGCAGACATGCAAGTGTGGTCTATATCGATATTATTTACAATAGCAAAAATAAATAAAGAGAAGGTGTGTGTGTGGATTATTGTTCAGGATGATGTTGGATATGGTATTGTAAAATGAATGAATTATAGTTATAAATGTCAACACAGGTGAACATAAAAAATAATGTTGAGGGTAGACAAAATATCTCACTGAGTGATACAAAGTTGAGACACATGAGTCAAAGGCAGTCCCAAAAGACGTACGTGCACATGTCGAAATTCGATATATGCTGAAGGCGTTCTTGCACATAAGTGGGAAAATGATAGACCACTTAGTCAGCAGAGCTCAGATAATTGATTTCAAAATGGGAAAAGTACTAGATTTCTCCTTTGCCCCATACACAGATGTTTGCAGGTTGATCTAATTGCATAAGACAAAAATTTTTTGAAGATAACAGCATAGGCTATCTTCATGGCCTTGGAATGGGGAAGCATTTTTAAGCAGAAAAAATGCTCATTCTCGCTTCATTTAAATTTTTAATTCAGTAAAATGTTTTTGGAGAGCCTTTCCTCCATATCCTGTCTCATGCCGTTGTCATTTCCTTTGCCCTGCTTTATCTTTCCAATCGTACTGTGAGGTGGTGATACTTATTTGTCTATTTTCCACCCTGGCTTCCTTCACTGTAAAACCCCACCACATGATTAAATGTTCCATAGATACTGGTGAGTAAACAAAAAGTCTAATAAATTTGACTACATTGAAAAACTTATGTGCATCAAAGGAGATAATAAACTAAGTGAAAAGACTCACAGAACAATACCAAGACTCCTAAAAATTAATTAGATGTCATGATAGAAAAATTAGCAAAGGATACAGATAATTTACATCCAATAAACATGAAAGACACTCAGCCTTACTAATATCAAGGCAATCAATGTAAATTAAAATCACAAGGAGAAGCTATTTTGCTCCCACAAGGTTGGCAAAAACTGAGAAGTTTCATGGGACTATCAATCAGTACAACTACTATGAAGACCAAGTTAGCCTGATATCATAAAATTGGAGAGGACACAACTATTTCTTATTTAGACATGGACCCTAGAGAAGCTTTTGCATATAAAACATACCTAAGACTGGGCACGGTGGCACATACCTGTAATCTCAGCTGCTTGGGAGGCTGAGGCAGGAGGATGCCAAGTTCAAAGCCAGCCTCAGCAAAAATGAGCTACTAAGCAACTCAGACCCTCTCTAAGTAAAATAGAAAATAAGGCTGAGATGTGGCCTAGTGGATGAGTGCCCCTGAGTTCAATCCCTGGCACACCCCGCTCTGTCTGCCAAAAAAAACCCCACACACCTGAAAAGATTCATTGTAGCATAGATTGTATAGCATAGATTGGCAG